AAAATCAATCCACCTTTTAGATGTCTAAAGAGCAGCAGTTTTAGCTGTGGACATTCTTGATACACTGGGCCTGTCAACTTAACTACATCCCATGACCCGACTCTTTCAAGTGTTACTGTCATTACAATAGCTATGACAATGAAGCGTTCAGCATTTCCATGGAGACTAGAGTTAATAACTTTTGAGGTCCAGTGCTGCACCCAGCCCAGAAACAGAGTTCAGCAATTGGTTCTGTGATCCTAACTCCCTGAGGAGGAGACTGAAGAATTTTACAACTATTATGCAGTGGTTCTCAGCCTGCCTTACATGACCCTCTAATAAAATAGCTCCTGTTGTGTTGACCCCAAATACAAAATTTTCTGTGGCTACTTCATAACTGTAATTTTGCTATTGATATGAATAATAATGGAAGGGGTTTTTGGTTGTTGCTGTTGGTTTTTGTTTTTGTCTTTTTGAGACAGAGGTTTGTCAAGGGGGTTGCCATCCCTTTGAGAACCACTGCCTCAGAGAGAGTAGTGGCAACCGCTATCAGTCCCTGGAAGCAGCAAGTCAAGCTGATAAGGATCTCCAGGTCCTAAGACTGTCATAGATCTGGCCTCAAGGCTTAAACTTCCCAGGCTCCCAAAAGCAGGGGCTTGCCACCATCACATTTTTTGTAGCACTGGTGGTTGACTCCACTGCCTTGTGCTTTATGTGTAGTAAGACCTATCACTCACCTATATGTCCCTAGCCCTGTTTCCACTTTGCACTTTGAGATGGTGTCTTCCTGAGTTACCTGGGCTGGCTATGAACTACTGCAGCGCAAGTAGGCTTGAACTTGTGATCTCCTGCCTCAGCCTCCTGAAGAGCTGCGATTATGGGAGTGTGCCAACAAGCCTGGCTCTCCCCCACCTTTACACAGACCAGCTTCACGTTGTTTGGTCCAGGTCGGGCGATGGGTATGGCTGCTGGAAGAAGGGCATGCCCACTTCTCTTACAGCTCTCTTTGTCCCCTGCCCTGGAGTCCACTGAGACTCCCTGCCAAACATAGAAACCACATCTAGAAAGCTTCTTCAGCCATTTGGAGTCCCACAGAACGGCTCTGTTCCTTATTAGCCACGTGGCCTTGGGCAAGTCATTCAACCTTTCTTGGTGCCCACCTTAGAAAGCCAAAGGGTTACAAGAATTCAATGATGTGGAAACGCACATGGAGCTTCCTGCTGGGTGCCTGGCACGTGCAATTGATTAGAATGGTCCTATGGAATGTCAGGGCTGGAAGGGGCATGAAAGATGACCTAATCCTGGTGTCCAGTTTCACAGGAAGAGCTAACTGAGCCCAAGGAAAGGAACTGACTTGCCCAAGGTCACATGGTAAAATCTTGGTGATACTGAATCTAGCACCTTGAGTTTGTTGTTGAAATCAAAAGTCAAAACCTACCACTAGGCCTGCTTGTTCTTCCTGCAAGCTGAGTAGCTACCAGCTTTCCAAGCGGCCAAGTTGGTAACTTGTCCTCCTGTCCCATAAGTCCAGTTTAAACTTTGTTTTCTACTCGGTAAGTAAAATGCATATTTCTACCCAGAAAAAAATTACATAAAATATGTGAAAACATCAAAGTTAAAACTAAAATATCAGGCATTAGCATAAAAGCAGTCTTTAAGCCTTTCCTCATCTTCCTCACTCACTGCCCCCCTCCGATTTTGCAATAATAGTAATGCTTCGAGGAAAGAAAAAAATAAAAATCTGATGCATATAACAGATATTTCAGTACAATAACGCATCACAGATGTTCCTATCAAACTGTGCATGCATGTGCACAATTTTACTGAGAAGGCAGTTGCATTTCTAACTTTCAGGTTGGAGATCCCTAATGACCCCATCTGCCCAGGTTCTGGATTCCTGCTCTGGATTCCAGTTAGGCCTTGGCTGCCCAAGAGGATAAAGGAGAGGTTTCATCACCTCCCTCCAAAATGATATGAGGACAAATTGGTGCCGTCAGGCTCTCGGGCAGGTGGTGAAGGGTGTGTAGATTAGGAAAGGAGAGGGCTCCTGTTTTCTTCCGCCGGAGACTTGTTTGCTACAGCCCTTTAAAGAAGCTGGACCCAAGAACAATTTGAAGAGCCGGCTCAGGCTGGCGGTGGGGTGGGAGTGTTTTTGCAACAGAAACTGGAGTCTGTTTGATCTTCAAACATGGGCTTTGGAGACTGTCAGCGGGCTCCTTGCTGGCCGATGAACGGCTCTCAGTAACTTTTACTAAAACATAAGCTCACACACTTCACAGCAAATGTTTTCAACCCACCAGAGCCGTCATTTGGTTGAACAGCAGTGTTTCCAGACTCCTGAAGAAAGATAGTTTTGTTGTTTTAAGAGAGACAGATTAAAGCCAGGAACTGTTTAACCAGAGACCTCCAATGCTCCCCTCAGCCCTTGTCAGGTTCCTCTGTGGTTGGTACAAAGAGGGTGTTGAGAGTAATAGTGGATCCCTCACCTCCCAAACCTAAAATAGATATCTATGGAGACCAGACAGGAAGACTATGGGCAGAGAGGCCTCTCCGAAAACTGCCTCTAAAATGAGATGGGCGGTGAGTGCCGGGGGCGGGGGGGGCCCTCTGCCTCAGATAATATCAGCTCACGAGGCTGGCAAGGGGAAAGTCACTTCAGAAGCAGAGAGCCGCTCTGTTCAGAGGGCTCCGCACTGGGGCAGAGAATGCACAGGATTTTCCCCGTGGAGATGGAGGCAGGCGTAGTCAGAACCCTGCGGGGCGTGACTAACTGCCCCAATATTCCTGCCACCGGGCCCTCTGGGTAAGGACTCCACAATTATGGGAGAGCCAGCAGGAGAACTCACAAACCCGCCTTTCATTTGGCCGGCAAATCAATCTGGCTTCTTACCTCCCTGGGGACAATATTGCATTTCCCCTGGAAAAACAAAGGCCAGAGATCTCGGAAGGGGGATCAGCTTCGGCAGTGGTTTCCCTGGTGAGGAGCTTGCAACATCTCTGAAGCAATTGGGTCTGATTCCAGGGACAGAGCCTGGGGTCCGTTCATTTTATGAGCCTATCTCCGTGATGATGAGCACGCATGACTTGAGACCACACTTCACTTAGAGCATCGATCCAGACCCTGTACTGGGGCCTCCTGCATGAGCCACAAGGCAGGAGCTCCTATCGAGGGTTGACAGCCCTGTTCTTTAGGCACAGATGTGAAGTTATTGTTCCCAGAGACTCAGATTTGAGTTTGGGACCAGTGAGCTGCGAATGACCTCTGCCCACGGAGACAGGCTTAAATGACACTTGGCTGGATCAGGTCTCTGACAGCCAGAGACTTTAAACCCTCCCTTCTCCCTTACTCCCTAGGTTCAGAAGTCAGACTTGCCAAACTTAAGCAAACAGTTTTCTCTAAAATTAACTTATCCCCTAAACTCTCCTTGCTGAAGTTGCCTCCAGCCTTTGGGAGACGACCCCCAGGGTCACAGCTTAGCAAAGGCCTGGGGAACTGTGCAGGCCTCGTCCACAAAACCTTCCCTGACAGCACAGCCTAGGCACAGGGCCTCCGCCTCTGTGCTGTTTCTTAAGACACACCCACAGGTGAGTGTGCAAATAGCCTTAGGACAGCCTTGTGCTCCAGGCCCCCAGAGCCTGAGGAAGCCTGCTGCAAACGGGCAACTCCCTCTTTCTGTTTTGGATCACTCTGATGCTCCCAGGGAAATTCTTTCTGCTCAAGCAAGCACAGCAGGTGGAGAGTGGATATCCCCAACAGGGAACCACTGAAATGGAAAGAAAGACCCAAACTCTGGCACATAGTAGTTTCCCCGACCCCAACAAAGCAGCTCAGTGCTGTCCCAGGGCCAGAGAGATGCTTTTGCTTGGGGTGGGAGGTGGGGTGCAGGTGGGGGAGGGAGGACAGGACCTGGCTCTGGCTGTCTGCTGGAGTAGGACAACGATCAGAAACCAAGACCAAGTCACGGTGGGGCAGCCGGCTAGACAGGCATGTGGGTTCCTACCTGGGAAAAGTTGAGCCCATTGAGGGGATGGCACTGCTCCTCTACCCGCTCCACAGCCCCGGTGCTCTTCTTCATCTTCTCGGCCTGCTGGGCCAGGTAGAGGTCCAGCACAGGCACACCTCGGGAGCGCACGTCTGTCTCCGTGAGCGAGTTCACCATGAGCATCACCCACACTGGCCTCTTACGCTCCCAGTTGCCAGCAATGGCGTTAAACAGGTAGTCAGCGTACAAGCCTTTGCCTCGCTGCGCTGGTGTCATCCAGGAGGGCATCATCAGCTTCACGTAGTCCAGGTGGCGCTTCAGGCGCCAGTAGAGCTCCCTCGGCAGCACATCCTGCAGGTTCTCCCCATGGGGCAGCAGCTGGCAGCTGGCCAGTGCGGAGATGGTGTAGGGATCTGTCAGATCCAGCTCGAAGTAGACCCGGGTGCTGGCCTGGAAGGCCGCTTTGGAATTATCAGGGATGAAGTCCCAGACTCGGGTGTAGGGAACGTGGATGGTGCCAAACAAGTAGGCTGGGGGATGGCGCCGAATAGTCCACAGGAAGGAGTTCAGGTCCCGCTGCTACAAGGAGAGAGGAGAAGAGAGGCAGGTCAGTGAGACCAAAGGCAGTAGAGCAGAGCCAGGCTTGGCACAGAGAGGTGACGGGGCTGGAGAGGGCCAGAAGGCAGAGGCCTGCTGGCAAGGGCTCTGCTAGCTAAAAGGTCCACATTCAAAGGCTGGCCTTGCCCTATCTTAGTTGAATAATTCCCAGTACATCATTTCACTTCCCACCGACTTAGTTTCCTCTTCTGTAAAATGGGGGGTGGGGGGGAATGAGAATGGGAGTTATTGGTAGGACTGAAACACAAAACAATGTACATATCTGAAACCCTCCGAGTGGCACCAGGCACAGAGGAAGCGGGCAATGAAGGGAGGTTCTCTTTATGACTAGCTTTCGTTGTGAAAGCCAAGGACTGCCACACCACCTGAGAACATTCATGCTTGGCCAAGCCAAACCTTCACCAGTGGTGTTTCATGTGGAGAGGTGGGGAGAGGGGGACCAAGAGTTCTGCTCTGGCAAGAAAAGAGGAAGTCATATAACTTTTAAATACAGCCATTAGAAGACATATGCCAAGAGCACTCTGAAAGCAGAACACCTATTAAAAATAGCAAACCTATTTCAACAGCTACTTCCCATTCATCCGGGTGGGTAAGGTTTTCTTCTCGGAGGGCAGGTCAGGGGTGTTAGGTACTTCGCTCCACTCGCTGAGACCAAAGATGAGAAAGTGTTTTAAAACCTTGCAAAGCCAAGTCAAGTTCAATTTCTGGTTTGGGGGGGGGAGAGGATTCTATAGATTTAACCCCAAGAAATGTACAATAGTCTGGGTGCTTTCCAGACTTGCCCACCAAAAAGGTGTACCTGGTTCTCCATCTCCAAGTCTGTCTTTTTTCTGTCACCTAGACACATACTAGGATCGTGCACCTTGAGCATGGGCACAAATACTAGAGCTTTTTCCCCCTGGTACCAACTAGGATTTAGAAAGAAACAGGAGTAGGGGCTATCATTTCTCAACCAAAGCCATTCTCCATCTGGAAAAGTCCCTAGAGTGACCAATGAACACTTGCAAACTTCAGGTCAATTCGTAACATAGTCAGTCCTACCTGATTCGGGTACAAATGAAAAGTATTTGTTGTGGGTAGCAGAAACAGCACCTTACTTTACTTACAAAATTTGTAAATCTGAAATGTGAAAGAGACTGTGCCTACCAGTTAGACAACCGGTTCATTTTGCAGGAGGCAGACTGCTAGCTGCGTACCTTGCCTAAGGCAACCTATGCCCTGCTAATAGGGTAGTACCAGAGGATCCTGCAACAGATTTCTGCTTTGCTGGCCTCCAATTCAGGGTGATTGTCAACCCATTAATCTATATTTTAAGAGAAGGACATTGGGGGGAAATCAAGAGATTTGGGGAGGAAAATTGGAAGAAGTAGTAATTACTTGACCCCCTCAGGGAAATATTAAACAAGCAAGTTCATTCTGTCATTTCCGTTTCTCTCCTCTGGACTCTTACTCCTTTTCAGGAAATGGGGGCATTTGGGACAATAGGTGCTAGATGGAATCTGGGGTACAGAGGGAGAGAGAAGTGAAACTGAGCAACAGGGTTGGAGGAGCCAGCCTTAGGTCAGAAAAAAGGGCAGAGAGAGGGAAGCCTGGCCTGTGGTACTGTGTGAATGAAACAGAGCTGGTAGTCAGGGTGTAGAGAAGGATAAAGGGTGTTGGGAAGACGAGTCAGAAGTAGGCAGAAGGAGACCAAAGGGTAAAGACAGGATAGAAGACAGTAGAGTCAGGAGTGGGCACGGAGAGGGGAAATGTCCAACCAAGACCAAAAGTCTAAAGGAAACTGTCCTCCAGCGTCGAAGGAACCATCTGGGCTGGGCTGGGTTGGGCTGGGCTCACAGTTGGAGCCCCGAGGACAGATGCTAGAGAAGGGAGTCCGGGCTGTGCCCAGAGGGCAGAGGTGGAGCGAGTGGGCTGAAGAAGGCAGGTCCCAAACCATTGCCCCTCAGGCTGGAGTGCCCAGGCAGGAGGGAGAGTGGCGGGGCTGGCGCTCGCTCACCGATCCGGGCGGCCGGCACTGTCCTCCGTCCGGGGGTTGCGGGCGGGCTCGGGCGGCGGCGAGGAGGGCGGCAAGCAGCGGCCCCGCCAGGGCGGCGTGCATCCTGCCCGGGCCCGCGGGACGCGGGGGACCCTCCTGGGCAGCGCCCCCTCAGCAGGGCGGGGAGCCCCCAGCTGGGCACCGAGGATCTTCTGGAGCACAGGGCTCCAGGCGAGAGATGCTGGGAGCCCGCTGGGGCGTGGCTGGATGTCCCTGTCGGACTTGGGGGTCCCTCTGGGGCGGGGCTCCGTCTGTTGGAAGAGGGGGATCCTCTGGGGCGGGGCCCCTCACCAGGGCGCGCAGCCGGGTTGGCCGAGTCCCGGAATTCTGCGAGCGCGCAGGGGTCCTGGAGCGCGTGGGGGTCCCGGAGCCGCGTCAGGGTCCAGGGGTACGCGGGGCTCCCGGGGCAGTCCCGATATCCCAGGGCGCGCTGGGGATCTCGGGTTATGCTGGGCACCCGGGGCGCGCAAGGGTCCCAGGGGTGCGCGGCGCTCCAGGGGGCGCGCAGTGGGACAAGTGCGGCGGAGGGCGCGGCGGGGCGGGGGTCGGCTCTGCGGTGCCGGGCTGCCCCCGAGCCTGGCTCAGAGGGGCGGCGGGCGGCCGCGCGGCCGCTGCCCGGGCTCCGCCATGCTGCTCCGCGGCCGGGAGGGAGGGAGAGAGGAGGGCGGGAGAGCGGCGCGGAGCCGGGCCGGGCGGGGGGGCTGGGGCCGCCGGGCGGGGGAGGGGAGGACCCGGCGCGGGGGGCGGGGGGCCGGGGCCGTGGCGGGACGGGCCGGGCCGCAGGGAGACGGGGCGAGCTCGGCGCCCGGGCGCGGCGAGGCGGGGTCTGCCGGGCATGGCAGGCGCTCCCTGGCTCAGCGCTCGCTCTCTCGCTCGCTCCCTCGCACGCGCGCGGAGGGAGGCGAAGCCCGCAGCAGCCACTTCCCAACTTTCCAAACTTCCCAGCGCAACTTTTTCCTCTCCTCCCCTGCCTGCGCCTCCTCCCTCCTCCCTCTCCTTACCCCTCGCCAGCTTCGCGCCGGGCTGTACCTCCCGAGCACCACCGCCAGAGGGCGTCCGGCCTCAGGCTCCGCTAAGTGGACCTCGGGCTTAGGGGTGGAAGCCCAATATTGGATCAGGCTGCGACAATTTAGGGACATGGGCCAGCCTCTCCGAGCACATCCGCGAATCCTGGCAAGAATAAGCAGGCAGCAGGACAGGATTTGGGTAGGCACTTCGAGGTATATCGGAGAATGAGATGGTTACTGGCGATCCAGGGAAGATAGTGTTTACCTCCGACTTTGTGTCACGCTGCTGTGCCTAACACTGACATATGTGTTCCTAGGCACTCTGCAAATACTCGCTACATTTGAATAAAGCATGTGTAAAGAACGTAAAAGAACTATCATCAGAATTCCTTGGAAACTTTCCTTTAGCCAGCCACTCTCCTGTTTCTCTGGGTCCCCATAGAATCCCTGTGTGTGGCTGCGGAAGGGTAAGAATTCATGTCCATTTCTTAGACTATAGGAATTGAAAGTCTTTAAAATTAACCTCTTCTGTTCCTAGGAGACAAAGGAGGCTTTAAGGAAGTCAATGGATAAAAAGCTTCCGTCTTTTCACAGCAAATGAGTAAAGTGAGTTATGGCGCGCAAGCGCAAGCACACACACACACACACACACACACACACACACACACACATGCGTACACGAACACCACTGTTTTTAAACAAGGCTTGCCAAGTACCGTATCCTGGCCTAGGCGGTTAAAGGATGAATTAGAATTAGGGGATATAATCAGAAGTCTAGAGTGGACAGACAAGGTCAGATATGCAAACAGGTAATTAACATACAATCCTATCGGAAGAAGTAGGAAAGGCAGGCAGAGGAAGCGGCTCCTAGGACAGCTGGAGTCAGCCGGTAGCTAACAGAAAGCAGTGAAGCAGATGCAGCACCCTGTGCCAAGGGGTGAGTGAGAGTGAAGGGCCTTCAAGGGACTGCCTACAGGAAGCAGGTGGCAGAAGCTGAAGCCGTGTCTTCATGCCAGGCCCGGGGTCACAGCTTTATACATACATAGGCTTGAGAAGCTACTCCAAGGCCTGAGGTTGAAAGTGGCTAGGGCACATCTCTCCTTACAGGGTGCATGGACTGAGAGAACAAATTGGAGGCAGGTGGCTAATGGGAGCCAAGGCCTGATCCTAAGCTTCTTGACTGCTGGCTCAGGGCTCTCCTCGCCTCCTCTGTACTCGGGCCTCATCACACATCAGCGCCTGGAGAAAGGAATGCTCCAAATTTGAGTGAGGAAGTACACCTCGCTTCTCTGAACCTAGAAGGTGAGTACCGAAGAGGCAGACCAGAAGGGAAGGACGTTAGCAACAAAACTGCCAGGTAGAATCCCACTAGTCATGTGACATTGCCACTTCTTTTTTTTTGAAAAATGAGTAGACAGTAGACGATGGTAATTGCCTACAGTTCAAACTGCTAGGGATCTGGAACTATTTGTTCTGCTCAGCCTCTTGTTGAGGAGTCTGGAGTGGCCAGAAAATGGGGCACCAGGACATAGTGGAGCAGCCCTGTCTCACACACACAGAGCTTTGAGATCTGAAAGACACTGCCCTAACTCAGTGCCCCACCTCTCAACTCTCTGCAAGGTCATCCACCAGCTTGGTAAGAACGGAGTGAGTTGGTTAGAGAGGGAGAGTCTGATTCCACCAAGAAGCAGGAATATGGTCCTCACTGGGAAATTAGAAGATGGCAGATGGGGAATACGAAAAGAACCAGATCAAATGTAAATTGACGGTACGTGTGACGGTATGCTGATAGTTTTTAACACCGTCCCCCTGACCCTGTATGTTGATAGTTTTTAACACCATCCCCCCTGACCCCTGTATTTCAAATGAAAGTTCTCTGCTATCACATCTTTTCCTTAAGGTAATAAAGGTTTTGGCAGCTAATTATCAGAATTAGCTGCTGTAACTTCCTTCTTTGAGGTCTCATGTAAGGCAGCGAGCAAGGGTAGAATACAGCCTCTCTGAGTCGGTCTTTCTCTGGACCTCTTTCTGGCCTCACTATTTTTCAGCGAATCAATGTGTGTGATGAGGCCTTAGGTACTTCACCCATATGGCACTGGTGCTGTTGATGAGAGGCACAAGAGCAAATAGGTTTGTCAGTCCCAGGGGATTGAAAACATGTATCAACACAAATCTCTGTGCACTGAAGCGTTCTTCACGATAGCCAGAAGTTGAAAACAACTAGCTGTCCATCAGCTAGTGAGTGAATGGAGAGTCAACTATGTCAGGTCAAGACATCAGGCTGTACACCTTAAAGACATCAAAGTCTTTTTAAAAGGAGGCATATGCAAGATAGAATATTACTTGACTACAGAAAATACTAAAGAGAGCATCTGTACAGAGGCAGAAAGCAGAATACCCATCACCCAGCACAAGGCCAAATGAAGAGATCAAAGAACGACACCAAAGGGATGTTGGGTTTCTTTGGGAAGTGGAAAAAAAAAACACCTTAAATGGTGATGGTTGCACAACTCTGAACACACTAAAAGAGAAAGCACTTTAAACAGGTACATGGTAGTGGATATATTTCCTGAAGCTGCTATCGAAAACCATAAACAAGAACATGGGTTTCAATGGTTTCTTTTTAAGCTTTTAAAAAAAATTATTAATTACACTTTATTTACTTTGTATCCCCCTGTTAAGGTTTTATTTTTATTTGTGTGTGAGTGTCTGTATGTCTGCCATACATGGATGCTCCTGGAGGCCATGAGTGGGCACTGAATGCCCTAAAGCTGGGGTTTCAGGTGATCACAGAGCCACCGGACATGGGTGCTAGAACTGAATCAAGTCTTCCACAAGAGCGGGTGTGCTAGGCTCCGAGCCATCTCTCCAGCTCAGTTCCAGGGTTTTAAGGCCTTTTCCCCCTCCTGTTTGGTCTAGTGAGATAAGCTCTGGGCTGTGCTAAATTCTAAATCCTAGAGACCAGAGCACTTGGACGTGACAATGAACTGAGGTGGCCGGCCACCAGCATAAACAAGCTGGTGGAGTGATGAACCTTTAAGGTCCTCTGCACCCAGCACTAAAGCTTTTCCTTTGAGGCCATTGGCAGCTCAGGGCATTTAGGAAGGGTGAGAAAGGGCTCCAGGCTTAAGAGGGGGCAGTGGCAGAGTCTAGACTGCTCTGCCTCAGGGCACATCCGGACCACTTTTCTTTTATTGCATCTTAATTAAGTTGTTCAATCAGATTGGTACCAGGAATCTGTAGGCTGTAACAGCAGGGGCAGGAGCAGAAGCCTTGTAGCGTAACTAAACCAACAAAGTTGGACTCAGAAGCCGGGCTCTGTTGAAGGGTGTCTCTTCCAGGATGAGCGATGAGGGATTTGGCCTATAGCTCAAAGGAAGACCATTGCTCTGAACTGCGGGGCCACTGGTCACCCTAATATTCTGACTTCATGCTCTGACCCCTTTAGTCAGCGTGCATGGGGCTGCTTCTGGGATTTGGGGAGAAAGGAAGAGAACTGAAGAACCAGGCAGAGACAGGCAGTGCTGAAAACAGTCTAGAGCAAGAGGAAGCACCTGGAAAAAAATGCGGACACTGAGATGATTGGGGAAAAGGTATTCTGTCACTCAAATAGAAAAAAGAAGCTCGTGGTCACAGAAGCGTAGTAAGAGATCAGAGCTGCTAAGTAGGAAGCCATGCATTAAAAATAACGCTACTGTGGGGCAGTCTAGTGGGGAAATCTTGGGTACAGAAGAATCAGCCCCAGATTTAGCCCTCAGGGGACTTGCCACCCGGCAGAGAGGACAGAGAGAAAAAACAAATGGAGCTCAGGGAAAGAAATCACATCAGCAAAGATTTTTGCCAAAAAGGTGGTGTAAGGGTAAGAGGTCTCCCTCCCATTTCCATGTCCTTTTGTTGTTTTTTTAAAGACCTATTGAGTCCAATTAGTGTTGCACGTAAGACTCACTTAAGAGCAAGTCGGTGGAAATCAGTCTTTAGACATGGTCAGAATCCATGGGTGCCAGCAAGGACCATGCAGGAACTCAGAAAAATGTTCTACCCTCCATCAAAGGAGACAATCTTAGCACACTCCACTCTGTAGAAACCGAGGGTGTCCCAGAGTGTGGCTGACAGGCCAGGCTCCAGGTGGGAGGCATGCACAGCCAGCTGGCTGTGTAGCCCTAGGGATAAGCAATGGCTCAGTCCTCATGTACTGTCTCCACATGTTCTGTGGTATAACTGAGCTGCCCTCCTCCAGCTACTGTGCCTTTTGAACAAGAAACACCTGTAGCCGTTGAGTTAAAAGACATTTCAGTGAGTGCTGTTGCATTGCAATGGAGGGTGTTGATATGTTGATTTTGTTTGTTTTGGGTTTGCATTCTGAAGTGAGATTTGCTACATTGTTACAAAAACAAACAATCCTCCAGAATATATATATGTAGATAGATAGATAGATAGATAGATAGATAGATAGATAGAGATAGATAGATAGATAGATAGATAGATAGATAGATAGATATAGATATAGATATATAATGGCTGTACTTACTTATTTCTAGCACCAAGTGCAAAGGATTGGGCAAAAGGGCAAAGTTTCAGTTGCAAGGTAAATCCTGGGGATCTAATAATGTATAGCACACATCGTGGTGTGTATGCTTATGAATTTAACTGTTGTGATTACTACTCAGCACCTGCATGTTTTTAAACCATCGCTTTGAACATATACAATCTGTCAAGTAAATATTTCAGGATGAAGAAAAAGATTTTAAAATAAAGAAAAAAAAAATCATATGACCACCAGGCAAGGGTGCACGGTCATAAAACTCCAAGCACAATGAGAGCCACGGTCTCCAGGGCAGTTTTCTGGCCCCAGCCACAAAACATGATTTGGACTGGTCTAAGAAGAGGAAGCATGTTCAGTGGAAGAAAAAAAGGAAAGCTTTTTACTTTCATTCTAATTAAGGAGAATGATGAAAGCAATGAGATGGAGGAGAAGCAAGGAGAGGACTCACTGAGCTGGCCAGCAAGCCCCAGAGACCCTCCTGTCTCTGCCTCCCCAGCCCTGGGATTGCTATGTACTCAGGTGCATGCTATGTACTCAGCTTTTATATGCATGCTGGAGTATCTAACGCAACAAATATGTGTGCAACCACGCATTTCCCCAGCTGTGCTTGTCCTCTCTTTAAAGATGAGGGTGCGTCTCAGAGAGGAACAAAGACACGCTCAAACCATGCATCTGATTGTTAGAAATTCATCTGTCTAAATCTTTGCTAAACCCTTCACTCCCTCCAAGACCCAGATGGGGAAAGTGCTCAGGTAGCAGGGCAGAAGAGGGTGTGGTTTGCTGAACACACTAGTGGACACCCGGTCACTAGAGAGTATATCTACACCACATGTGGCAGCTCTGGGCTCTGTCTGTCTTCCAAGCCTGATTAGGATAGAGGGTAATTGTCATTTAGGGCTTGCCTGTCACTCTAGCCCAAGCTGTGCGAGGCTCCATTTCTCTGCTTAGGACCCTACTGAAGTATGGAAAGGGAAAAAGGAAATGTGATGCTTGAAACAAAATACCCCATCGAGCTGACCACTAAATGGTACTTAGACCCCAAATATACACACAGCTGCTTTATGTAATGAAGGCTGCAGACCATGTTCCTGGATATAAAATAACAAACCACATATAAAGTTTTACGTTGCTGTGTAATTAGCACGGATCTGCAAATGTGCTAGACTGCCACGGTGAGGGCAGGAGGGGGGCGGGGCTTGGGCCACAAGTACAGAGAGGGTATGGGAAAGAGCAAAGAGCATGTCCGGGGTGAGAAGAGTGGACGTTCAGTCTTGACCTCATCCTCATACCCTTTGGCCTTGGGCAAGTTATTCAGACTCTGTAGACTTCCAGTTTGGTATCTGTACCATCAGGCAATGGTATCTGCTTTCTCAATAGTGCTATTGACCTTTCTGCCTGAAGGACATTTGATAATTTGTAGAGACATAATTTGTCGTACTGGAAAGGTGCTGCCGGCATCCTGTGGCTGGGGCCAGAATGATGCTAATTATCTTACAGCACATGGAACAACCCCATTTAGAAGCAACGTACCGCAAATGCCAGTCCTGCTGATACTGAGAAATCATTTCTCATAGGGTGGCTTTATGATATTATAATCATTCTTAACTTTGATTGGACATTTGCTGTGTGCTAAGTACTTCCAATCACTATTTTAATGTAGTAACTCTTGCCTGTTCATAATAAGTCTATGAGGGAAGTGTTACCATTATTCTCATCCTATACTACCCTTATTCTCACCCTGTAGATAAGGAAATTGGAGTCCTGGCAGTAAATTTGCCCAAACTCACAAACCCTGTGGGGGGTGGAACATAGGGCTATTTGCAAAATACCTGAAGCTCCAGATCTACCACACGTGAACTTGAACTCATGTTTTACTTACCTGAAGCTTCAGCGCATGGGACATGAGAGTGAAGGTGGTCTCTAGGGAGAGAGCAGAACACCCAATTGTTCATGAAGGCAATACAAGCAGCCAGTGTTTAGCACACCAGACAGTGAAAATGCTTGTTCACACTCAGTTCTCTTTCCAGAAGAAAAATAATAAACAGGTGATTAAATAAAAATGGAGAGAGACTGTGTTGTGAATGATGAGAAGGGTTCTGGCAGAAGAAGATGTGAGAGAAGGGTACCGTCAGTCAAGTAAACAGCCTTGGCAACTGGAGACACCATCGTGTGTTCAGGATATAGGAAAATCAAGGGTAGTAAGATCTAGGTTGTGAGGGATGGGAATCTTAGAAGTGCAGCAGAGAGGAGGGGCCACATGAAGAATGACTGTTACCTGAGGTAAGAAACTTGAATTCCTTCTTCACTTAGGAGTTACAGGGGTTCTCAAAGAAGATCGCGACCTGATTTGCATCTTGGAGGTGCATTCAAACCTCAGTGTGAAGGATGGTGAGGTGGCAGGAGAGGAATCCAGGAGTCTGGGCAGGACCTGAGCTGGGATCAGGTCGGGTGTGTAGGGTCTTACTCGCATGGGTACTGTGGAGATGGAGGAAAGGGAACAGATCTGGTCCACAGTGTGGAGCCAATAGCTAGCATTTTGTGATGGATATGATAGGTAGAAGGAGCAAGGATGAAATCGATGGCTTTAGGTGGTTTTATTTTGAGAAACTTCTTCATTAATTGAGACAAGTTGAGGAAAGAACAGAATTTAATGACATTGGAGAGAAGGCACCAGTGGTCCAGTTTGAGGTCATGTTAATCATGAAAGGCCCACCAAGTGGAGGGTCGTAGGAAGTAGTGTAGAAATATCCTGCAGCTCAAGAGAGTGAGCAGGGCTATGATGACAGATGAGAGAGAGAGAGAGAGAGAGAGAGAGAGAGAGAGAGAGAGAGAGAG